AATGGTGAAACGGACAAAGACGCGCTGGATGAGTTTATTACACACAAAGATGACAAGGTTGGATTCCTCTCGAATCAACAAGTGGAAGACAATCTCATGACAATGCTGTTCGGAGGCCACCACACCACAGCTCTCGCTCTCATGTGGCTGATCAAACACTTGAATGAGAACCCACAAGCTTTCAAGGAAGTGGAGGTTATTATTATTGTTATTATTATTATTATGATTTTTTAAAAATCTGTTTTGATTCTAGGAGGAGCAAAGGAGAATACTTCTTGGTAAAAGAACCAAGTATAGCTTAACTTGGGAAGACACAAGACAGATGCCAGCCACTCTAAGGGTTGTGGACTAAGCTCCAATTTTATGTTAGATTTAATTGCAGTGGTTTTGCAGGCTGTCCATGAAAGTCTGAGGCTTTCTAATGTTGTGGGGGTGGTGACACGTAAAATCACTAAGGATATTAGCTACAAAGGTTTTATTACATATGATTGAAGCTAATTCCAATTGTTTGTCTACTTTGTTGGTGTTAACAGGTTACACCTTGCCCAAAGATTGGATGATTCATGTCTATATGCCACCAATTCACTTAGATGACAGCATTTACCCTAATGCAGCAAAATTTAATCCATCCAGATTTGAAGTATGGTAGTTTTCATGTTTATACTTAACCAAACCTTTTATTTTAGGTTCCAGCTAAAACTGGCACATTTATTCCATTTGGCTATGGAGATAGAATATGCCCAGGAAGAGCATTAAGTCAGTTAGAGCAAATGATTTTCATACACAGGCTTATCACAAAATACAGGTAAATTCTTTTGCTCCTCTTTTCTTGGCAACAAATTGTAATCTTTGATTGAAGATGGGAGCCTGTCAATCTAAACAGTACAACAAGCTACTGGCCAATGCCATCCGTGAAAGATGGATACCTCGTACATGCTATGTCCATTTAGTAAGAAATAACAAGTTACAAAAGAAGACCAAGTAAATTCTGCACAATAAGATGATTTCTATTCAAATTCCAAATGATCTTCACAGAAGTCAATAAGATAAATCAAACGTGTTTTGGCATGCAGGTCTCGAACCTGTGTTCTATACTTCTGTTTTGGCCCATGGAGGTTTTCAGCTTGCGGTTTTTAGCACCACGCTATGACCCACTGAACTAATAGGCCTTCGTTCTGATTACAGGTTGTTAATGTTGACGCCTTCTCTCTCGCAGCGTCCAGCAAATCGGCCATGCATTCGTTGTGCTCCACTCCAGGACTCGTTCCATACCTGGAGCTCATCGACTTCAGAAGCTCACGGCCCCTCTCCACGAGCCCGGCATGGCTAGAAGCATCGTCACACTGTCCGCCAGGAGGCCCTCGTCCATCATCCCACCAAAGAGATGGAAAACCTGTCCCGGCGTGACTATATCCTGCCAGTAGCGACATCCAAGTTACCAAGTTCCTCTCTGGAAGCGAATCGAAATACCTCGTGAGCTCTGGACACCATCCCGGACGCCAAGTACAAGTCCACGAGTTTGCTGCCGACCTGTGTCTCGCACTCTACACAAGAATCAGCGTGGAAGGTGCCGGTTTCGATCGAAACTCCGTCCCGGCAGGCTCCCAGTGCTGCGACGAACGAGGCTGAGTTCAGATGGCATCCTTCATGTCGCATTGGATCAAAGAGCTCGCAAGCCTTTTTCACCTTCACTATTTTCAACGTACCCCGCCAGGACGCCGCTCCATTCCGTCGAAGGGCGGCCTCCGTACATGTCCACCAAGTTGTTCGTGAGGAAGAGGTCGCAGCAGCCATACCTGATAGCTTCCGAGTGCACGGTCCATAGAGTTTATCTGAACTTGATTGGTGCTGGATTTCTTCTTTCGCTGCGAGGCCGGTGCAAGCTTTCGATGCAGCAAGAAAGCTCCGAGCATTTGGTCGGCAGTTTCTCGCTCTGGACAGCGCTCATGCTGGGATACGCAGAAAATGGCGAAGAAGACCTGGAACGGAAGCTGTTTACAGAGCTAAGACCGCCAAAGAACGACGTTGCATGACTCCAGTTTGTCGATCCTCTGGGCTCCCACACTTGGAGTACGCATGCTGGCCATGAACAGGCTGGTGTCAAGTCCTCTTCTCGCCGCCTAGGCATGAACAGCCATGCCTTTCTCCAAAGCAAAAGCTTTGACGAGCCTCACTTCTTTCTACTGCAAGCCTTGAGAACTGCCACAAAACTCAGATGATCCGGTTGGAGCCGAGTCGAGAGAAATCGAGAGAAAACCTTAAAGGCCACTTCTTCTTCGAGGTTCGTTGCATATCCCAGCACTAGAGCGTTCCAGGAGACCGTGTTTGGAGAGATGATCTTCTCAAAAGTTCTGCGAGCATCGGCCATGCTCCCACACTTAGTGTACATATCCACCGACGTGTTTCCGACAAAAACATCACTAGATCGATGCTCTCGAGCCACTCGGAAGAATTTTTTGGAATCCTCTTGCGGAAGCTCGCTTACCTGATTTCGAGAGAAATCTGGCGGCTGGATCGGTCGCGTCATTCCATTCTTCGCAGGGAAAATTGCTAGAAAGCTCTGCACTGCTCGAAGAATTTTAGCGAGGGCAAGCTGCCATTGCCCGAGAGCGAGAAGAGAAAGAGCGCCCGAGCGGTATCTTCTTTATATTCCCCTTGGCTATCTTTAACTGAGAATGCATGTGTTGCTGAAAATCTATCGCTGCGGTACAAGAATTTTTCCATTTTAAGGCTCTAAACTCAAGAGAAATGTATCTCAGAGAACTCAGTAGTTTCATCGTCAAACAAAGTCGTTTGGCCCCGTGGAAGACGATGAGAATTGTAAGAAACCTCACATGATCAGTCGGTTTATCAAGGAAGACTCAAATCTGAATGGTTTCATGGCGATCCAACACCCGAGGCCACCACACAACCTACTTTGTTCATTTGCCACCTTTCGGTTCTGCTGCTATCGGGCGCAGCAAACCTAAGGCTTGGAAGTGGGGTTTCCAACCGCTTCTATGAGTGATCAGGAGATACCGCAAGTGCATGGGCCCAGTCCGGATCAAATGAGCCTTGGCAGCCTGGTCGAGCTTGAGAAATCCGGCAAGCACAAGCAAACAAACACGAAGCAAACAAGGTGAATACCGTACCTTATGACAGTGCCTTAACACCGGCGTTCTAAGGACGGGGATCATGTTGGAGGCGTGTAGAACGGCGTCCGAGTTTATCCGAGACAAAGAATGTATGCTGGTAAGTTTCCATTTGGTTTGTAACTCCGAGAAATCTCTCTTTCCATCGGTGGGTTGTTCGTATGAAAATGGCAAGGGCACTTCGTCCAACCGTTTTAATCGTCAAGCCAAGCATTCCACTCGGGCTCCATGCTGAATTTGTGCAAGGGAGACTCAGCCGACACTTCTGAAAAACTCTCCTTGATCGCGTGATTCTTCCTTCTTTCTAGCCTTCACCGCCATCGACGCGCAACGCCCTCGGCCCTGGAGCGAACTAGTTTCTGATGTGCCAGCATTCAGGGTGGATATTTGGGCGCGGCCGAGCGATTGTTCTTCGGAGATGGCGGATTTCCAATCCGAGGTCCCAGCACCTTTTTATGCTAGAAAATTCCAGGTTGTTTAGATCTCTCTCACCTTTCAATGCTCTTCCTTCCAGCCTAGGGTTAAAGCATGGCGAGCAGGAGGCGAGACGTTTTGGCCTCGTGGGCGATGGAACCAAGCTGCCGGTAAGGGCTATCGCTGCGTTTTGGAAGCTGGATCGCTGGATCCCGCGACTCTGTGTATTGGCGACGATGTGCTGCTCGCGGATGCAACTGGAACCGATGCAACTGGAACCTCCATCTTCGACGTGGAATCCATCCGGCAGATGGCAGTCAGGAGTGGCCTGGGCGATGGCAGCTCCAAAGACGCAGCCATGCCCATCAATGGGACGATCATCATCGCTGAAGAAGAAGAAGAAATACAAATACCAAATTAGGCAGAGATGAGCCGCAAGCGTTACCTGGTGCTCGAGGCCGAGGCGAGCAAGTTCATCGGCTGGTTCTATCGCGTGGGTCGCCAGGACGACGAGGAGCTCGACGCCACAAACAGGTGTGGAATGGTGACGCTGGTGAGGCCGGATGGAACTTGCGTCACGAGCTACGCTTGCATGAAAAAGAAGGCGGAGGAGGAATCCGATGGCAAGCGCTACGTTGTGTGCGTGGACGACTGCGTAGCAGAGGTGGCGGGCGGAGTGGGAGTTTTAACTCCCGCGCAGGGATGCTCCCAGAGCTTCTCGGCCTGCGCGGTGGTGGCGCCGATGCCAGGGCCGTGGGGGCCAGGATCGAGTGTGGAGCGCCAGTGATGACTCCCAGGGGTAGCTTGACGGGCGTGGTGGTGGGATTTGGGAAGCTCAGGAATGACAAGAGGAGGTCCAAGAAACTAAAGCCGCCATACAATTTTCCCATCACCAAGGGAGACTTTGGGCCCTTCTTGGAAGGAGTGCCGGAATCCATCGCCAAAGGTAAGCAAGCTTGTTGAGGCATTTGGAGTGATTTTGTTTGTCAGGCAGATTGCATGGCCGGGGTGGAGGTGAATTGCTTGGTGTACTACAATACCGTCGAAGGCAAGATTAGCTTCCCAGCTATTGAATGGAGGGTATGTTCCTACTATTATGATCCTTGACAGTCAACTTACACACTTAGGTGCAGGACAAGAACTACTTCAAAGCAGATGGTACAATTGTTCGGTTAAGCTGCCTGGAACACCGTGATCGAATCCTTCGCCCTCGCGGGATTGGTAGACGCGCTCGATAGGGATCAAGCCCGATGGATCCACGCTTTAGGACTCAATTCTTCCTGGGGATTCGGCCTCGATCCGGGGAAAGAACACTATAGCTACCTTGTATTCCATGGCGGCTGGATTGGAGGGAGCGGCGGAGAATGTGGTGCCCCGGAGTGGAGCGCCATACGTGATCTTGTCGAGCGCCATCGCTGTGGAATCCTTGAGACAATAGGATATACTGTATAGGATAAAACAATTGTCATTATTCTATTGTCTTGAACCTTCAAAGGTTCTAGAAGATGTTGTTTCTACGGGACGCGTTGGACAAGAGCTCATCAGCATCGACAACGAGATCGAATCGAATCACCCCTCAAATCGAAGGTGATCGAATCATTTTCTTGCCTTCATGAGCCAGTTTCTTCTTTCATTTTCTCACAAAAGTTTTCCCACCGTTTGTAGTGACTGCCGTTACCCTGTCGCTTCTTCATGCCTGAACTCTAGAGACTTGATGCATAGTGTTCGTCAACTAAAAGCATTTCAGGACACGCAGATGTAGTGTCCTGAAACGTAATTAAGGCCAGCAGTTGCAATCGTGCCCTTGCATATGGCCTTTTCTACATTCCACGAAGAAAAAGAAACAGAGATACCACTCGTTAGCTATGAAGCACTCTCGATTGGGATGAACTGCGGGAACGTCAAGGCCTGTGCTTCGAGTATGGAGCTAAGAAACCATTAGATTTGATCGATTACAATTTCTGCCTAAAAATTAGAGAAGGCCTTTTGTGGCACCAGCTCAAAGTCGTCACTGTCATAGCGCGTCCGCTCTCTTCCTACCTGGAAAATAACTCGCGAGAAGGAAGCTTGTTAGCACAACACAAACGAGAAGATTTGATTCATAGCTTACTTTGCTGAGGAAGGCCTGATCACAAGACACTTGCTCGTCTACAGCCGTCAGCTTCTTCGCTAGCCTGATCACCCTGTCGCAAGGAATAGCAATGCATTCAACTTCTTACTTGCAATGGAAAGGGAAGAGCTTACTTCTGGATTTCGGAATGAAGACGCTGGCTCATCTCCCGCGTCTTGTACTGCTCCGAGTCCTCTTGGAAGCGAACCATCCCATCCTTTTGATTTATAGTGGCAAAAATCTCTCCGTCTTGTATCTGTAAGACAGCACCAGGTATGAACGAGTGTAAAACAATGATGACATGGGGCTCAAACCATTTGAAGGACGTGCAGCTCGGCATCCTTGGCGCTCTCCAGCTGAACAGTCTGTGCGATGTCTTGTAAAGACAGGGTGAGGTACGTTTGAGTAAGTCTTTGTATGTTCCTCTTGTAAAGGGACGCCACCACTTGCTTCGCCAAACCCAAGTTCTTGTCCTGTGCGTAACAAGTTAAAAGAGGTCGAGAGTTTTCTCTTCTTACATTTCTAAAGGCTTCTTCGTGACTGGTAAGGCAGCGTTGGAGATCCGTGATGTTGCGATTGTTGTACACAGTAACCAACTCTATATAGCCCTGCAAGTTGCGAGGAATGTAAAATACTGACTGTGGAAACTTCAAGCTACCTGACAGCATCCTTTCAAATTCCTCTGGACGATGGAGGGCGTGTACTTTGGGAAGGGAGGCACCTACGAGGATTTCTTGTTACTTCACAAACGTAGACGGCAAAGGCCACAGAATTACCTGACCGTTGTGAATGAGGCACACCAGTACGTACTTCTTGTATGCCTCCACTGCTATGGCATTCATCACATGAGCAGGAGCTGTGAAGGCCTGCCAAGTGAAACAAATAAAAATAAGACCGTGTCTGGCTGACAGCCAGAATCTCTTACATGCTGCAGTAACTCCATGGCTCGCAGGAAATTCTTCAAGCCGATTTGTACCATGCCGCTGGAAGTAAGAGTAAGTTTACTGCGAGAAATGAGAAAAGGAAATCAAAGACCACGTACCCGTAGTAGCAGTAGAGCAAGTAGTCTTTGGGAACAAGCCCGGTCTTCTTGGGGTCTATCTCAAAGATCTGGTCCTCCAGGATCGGAGCAGCAGCCTTGTAGCACTTGGAGAGCAAACACACGAGCAAAAAATCCGCATGAATGGGCGTCAAGTACTCGGAGGATGGCTGGAACTTCCTGATGGCGACTTGGAGTGGAAGAACAGCACGAATGGGCCTGTGCATGTTCATCGCGTGTTCCCTTAGCTTCCGGCACAGGGAATTGACTATATCACCACAGCAAACACCATGAGCTAGCAAGTTCTTTGATTCTCCAAGAACAAGAGAAAACAAAGAAAGAAGGAGAACTCACATTTATCCGGGCAGTAGCGAATCTGCTCGGGCGAACAAACCGTGATAAAGTTCGTCACGGACATGAGGAAATTCTCGGCCTCCTCTCTCGAGGGCCCGGCAGACCATCTCCCATCCCTGATTACAGAAAAGATCTCTCTTTGTCTCAAAGAAACAATCGAAACTTACAGAATGAAAAGGAAGCCGAGGGAATGCTTGGCAGGATCCAAGGCGTGGAGCGCCGGCTGCAATCGCGCGCCCTGGGATCGCATCGCGTCATCGTTCTGGCGCAGGAGGACGAGAAGCTGGCCGAGATCATCCGCGCTTCCAGACAGCCCTTGGACCTGTGTGACGAGCTGCTCCATCGATAAACCCTAAAATATTTTTTTCCGCCACTCCTCGGAATCGAGCTCTAGATCTGCGTGAAGAAAGCCCTAGTAAAAAAAATGGCGGATGGAAGTGGAGGAGAGGCCGCCCTGGCGATGGCAGAGGTGAAGAGAAGAGCGCGCGATGAGATCGCCGGCGACGCTGCTGCTGGAGGCAAGAGATTACGCGCGACGGAGCTCTTCGATGAGCCGCTCGCGGCGGCGTCGCGGCCATCGCCAGGGATCAAGCACCAGGGGCAGGAGAATGGGGTAAGCATCAGGGACGAGGAATTCGCGACCGCCGAGGTTGTGAATGCCAGCCGGAGCGGTAGCGCCAGCGCAGCGGCCGTGGAAGATTTCGGGGAGGAGGAGGATGGATTGCGGTCGGATGTAGAGGAGGAGGAAGAGGAGGAGTTTGTAGATGAGACCGAGAGCGACGAAGTGGACGATGAGGAGGAAGAAGGGGATTACACGGACGAGGACGACTACAGCGATGTGGAGCTCCAGCTATCGGGCGCTCAAAATCGCCCGAGAAGGATAGAGAAGGGGATCGTCCTGGACAAGGGGAAGAACAAGGCGGCGGCGGCGGTGGCTCCTCCGCAGGACTACAAAGGCAAAGGCAAGGCGATCGTCCAGGAGGAGGACAGCAGCAGCGACGATAGCGAAGTGGGCGTGGACGAGGACGAGTTCCTCAAGGCAAACATGGCAGCGCTCAGGGACGCCGATGCGCTGGAGGAGGTGGACTTGAACAACATTCTTCCCACAAGGACGCGCCGGCGGACGATCCAGCAGCCCGTCCATTGCGATGATCCTGGCAATGGATCCAGCGAGGAGGACGAAGACTATGTTGCCGGTGGCGAGCTCGGCACTCCAGGAGGAGGAGGAGGAGGAGGAGGAGGTAGGCAAACACAGAAAAAAAGTCGATTTCTTTTCTTCCAGATCGAGCTGAAACTTCGTCCGTGGTTTTCCAGGGAAATGATCACGCTGCTGTACGTGGTATGTTCTTCCATTTCTTTTCCCTGTCGCTGAGATCTCTTAGATTTGATCGTGTGATAGTTTTGGTGGTCTGTGAATGCAGGTGACTTGTTGCCTATGCGTATTTCATTGCTGCAAAATGTTTGCCAGTTTTGATGCAATGTAGGGTTTTTCTTGTCTTCCTGGTAACTTTTCTTTTCTTACTTTCTAACCCAATGTAAATATTGGATTTTCACCTCCTCGAATATTCTTCTAATGTATTCTTCCTAGCGCGCAGCTGCGCCGGAATCAGGCGCTCCGTTTCGATTTCCATGGCATCGTCTGTCCGAAATGCCAGGAAGAATGTCGAGAAAAAGGATTTCGTCCCAGGAATTGATGAGCGCCTTCATTCGGACGAGGAGCTCGACGCCAAAATGTGTGGAATGGTGAGGGCTGGTGACGCCGGATAGGACTTGCGTGAAGGCCAAGCGACACCACATATTAAGCTCGCCGAAAAATCTCTCTTTTGCCTGTTTTGCATGGAAAATGATGTTCCAAAGACCAGGTTTCAAAGCAACTATTGCCCACTACATTCCTCCCCCGGCAGACCATCTTTGGAGAGATAATAAGGCGGCATTTTGCAATTTATCTCTGCGAGCAAATGATATTCCAAAAGACCAGATTTCAATAAAATCTTTGCCTCGTTCGGCAGACCATCTTTGCAAAGGTGACATGCCCATCTTCCGAATAGATATGAAGCATCACTGTCCACGAAAAGAGGATCTTCTCGCTCATCTCCTCGGACATTTACCTCGCGCAAAACATTCGAGCTCAGAAACACTCCGGTAATCCAGATGATAAGGAACGTCAAGGTGGAGCTAAGACATAGCCATCCTTTGCCCACGACGCACAAAACTTTGCAGGTTTCAGCCGAACGTGTTTGGAACGTTTGCGAGCGCGTTCGGCCGTTCGCAAACGCTTTTGGTCCTGGAGCCGAACGTTCGCGAACGCGTTTGGCGTTTGGCGTTTGGCGTTTGGCGTCTGGCGTTGGCGAACTTGAATCGGTGCCAGCATTCAGGATGGAGATTCGGGCGAGGCCGAGCGATTGTTCTTCGGAGCCCGCGAGGAAAATGATCGAGCGTGAAAAATTACCCGCCATACTTTGTCATACAATAATCCAAGAATTACCCGCCATCCTTTTGTCATACAATCCAGATTCCATGACCTGGTCTTGTCAGTGGTTACATCTCGGGTTACATTTACAAGGAGCATGGCCGCGACATCACTTTCCTGTGTGGAGCTTTGAGGCGGAGAGAAAGGATTTCCTTGGTCACGAGGGTGTATGTTATCTGGGAGATCGACAAGCTCGCAGGAATATGGAAGCAGCGGTATTAAGGAAGCCGAGACAGCTTTCGCCATCTACCTCAACGCTGCTTGTAGGAAGCACTGTTGGTTTTCTCCGTGGTTGAAACCAGATGCACATTCATTCCCAGCACCATCGAGCCGAAGATACTGCCTGGCTCCACCTCGGCTGAAAGATTGCTCTGGATTCTACAAAAGAAGGGCCCGGGATTTTCCTTTGATAATTCTAGCATATTTTAACCCGATTTGCTTGTAGGCGGGTAAGAGTTCGTTAGCTCTTTCCGATGGTTACCTTGGATCCAGCACGAAAATGATTACATTGCTATCTGGGAGAATCAGCATTGTGAAAACGCAGCTAGGCTAGCCGAACGATTGTACCAAAGTAGTTCTTCTCCTGAAAGAGGGAAAACCCCGACTGAAAGGGCCCAAGGTGATGGGAAACTTGTATGGCAGCTTTAGTCTCTTGAACCTCCTCTTGTCATTCCTGAGCTTCCCACCACGCCCGGGGAGTCATCACTGGCGTGGCAGAATGATATGACGGTAAGGAAGGAGTTGACAGCTCTTCTCGTACTCCAAGAGATCGTCAAATCGTCCCATCGCCTCCCACCGATGTTCCGGCCACGAGCAGCGGCTTGTTGTTCGACACCACCTTCACCCACGGCCTTGGCATCGGCGCCACCACCGCGCAGACTCCTGACTGCCGTCTGCATCTTCTCCTGGAAGTATGTGTTTCCATGACAACGCTCTCGGTCATTACGTGGAACTGTCGGGGGCTCAGCTCTGACGACAGTCGTCTCAACAAGCTCCGGATGGATTCCACGTCGAAGATGGAGGTTCCAGTTGCATCCGCGAGCAACACATCGTTGCCAATACAGAGCCGCGGGATCCAGCTTCCAAAGGTTCCATCACTCACGAGACCAAAACGTTTGGCCTCCTGCTCCCCATGCTTCAACCACAGGCCCATGAGTATTTGAGTATTTGAGTAATCTGGCTGGAGAAAATGTGCCAGCCTTCTATCGGGAAATTAGGCGAACGAGATCATCTTCGCGATAAATTCCAATAGCGCCGCTCTGCAGGATCATTTCAAAACCAGGATACCGCGTCCCTGCGAGGAGCTGATGGGATCATCCTCGCGCACTGGTAATCGACTAACGAGCTTAGTGAGGATGGAACTCTTGATATAGGCCATTGTTCCTCCCGGAAGGACGTTACTGCTTGTTTTCCAGGCGGTGTTCATGCCCGCAGCTCCATGCAGCGTCAAGCCAAGGTGATAGAATGATATCAGAAACGTATTTGGCGCGAAACTAAGACCCCCGAGTCCCAAGTCTCGCACCACCTACAAAGAAGGAAAAAGGACGCCATCAAAGATGGATAGACAAGAAGAAAGATATGATCACCTGGAGCCGGACGAGTCGCAAAAGATGCACTCGCCATGCCTCGAATTTTTCCAGAAGTGCCCAAACAAAACACTGCCGTCTGCCGAGTAGTATCGCCCTTGTCCGTGCGCTCTCCCTTGCACAAATTCGGCATGGAGCCGGTCGCCCGAGTGGAAATAAAACCATCCCTGAGACCACACCTCAATGCTTGGCTTGACGATCAAAACACATACCTTTCCATGGATGAGATTGTCACGCCAGTGCCCTTGGTAGACGTCGCCATTTGCATAGTAAAGCGTTCCCATCCCACTTCTCTTGCCTTGGACCCAATCCCCGTCGTAGAAACTCCCATCAGCGAACGTCCATCGACCCTGAGAACGTATAGCCACGATGAGAAAATAAGAAGGAATTTAAACGCTCGTTACTTGATTACCTTGCCATCTGGTTGTCCTCCTTCACAACGTCCTTTATACGAACCACCTTGAAAGTTCATCTCCACCGACGGAGAGAGGCTTCTCGGACTTCGCTCGTTTTCCTGGTGAAGCTAATGTTGAATATGTAAGAACAAACCAAATGGAAACTTGCCAGCATACACGCAGCTCGTTCCGACAGAGACTGCTCTGGCCTGTTGCGATCTTTGTCTTGGATCAGCTCGGAGGCCGTTCTACACGCCTCCAACACCGCGTCGATTCCCATCTTTAGAACGCCGGTGTTAGGCACTGCAGCTGGGTCACAAGGCAACGGTTGCAGCGCATTCACCTTGTTTGCTTCGTTTGGTTCCACGTAGCTGTGTGCCTGTGCTTGCCGGATTTCTCGAACTCGACCAGGCTGCCGAGGCTCGTTTGATCTCGACTGGGCCCAAGCTCTCGCGTTATCAGAAAATGGTCCTGATTCCCATGAACGACATTCCTTATCACTCGTAGAAGCGGTTGGAAACGTTCTCTGTGCCTTTGAATCGATGTGAGTTTCAGTCACGGAAGTTCCATTTGCTCTTGTATTCTCTCGACTTGTTGATGAAGAGTTTTTAGCAAGGAAATTCTCTGTAAAAGTAGAGCTCGACGTAGGAGCATTCTGACAATGTCCGCGGCTGTCTTGACGCGTGCTGGGATACACAACCTTTCCAATCAAGTTGTCTTTTCCAGTTTCCATCCTGCATTGAAACTTCTTAAGACTTTTTCTCACGTAAGAAAGCTGCATGTACCTCGTTGTCATTAACAGAACGTGATGAGTTCCAGGAGCCAGACTTGTATCAAGCACGGAAAAGCATGCAATTGTCGCCTCTGTTTTTGATACAGAGCGGAGAATGCGCGCAGCGGTGCGCATTTCATCCTTTCGTACTCGCTTTGAGTTGGCCACGGCACAAATTATCGGTCCTTGTCTCTCCTGCTCGCATCAGTTAGTATTGAGACGTATACACCAGAAAGAAAAACATACCTTCTCTGACATGGGAACCATGTCGAGAGCTTCCTTGACTGCTTCCATCGGCGAAATCCCACTTCCAAGCCTTACATTTGCCACGCTCCATAGCCGAAGGATCTGAGCAGAACCGAATAGTAACAAATGAATGAATTAGAGAGAAGTATCTTACCATTTCAGAAATAGAGAATTCAGTAGTTCCATCATAAAAGAAAGACGTTTGGCCCTGTAGAAGACGATGAAAATTGTCAAACTAAGAGCAATGTCGTCACTTACAGATATCAACTGAGAAACAGCCTGAACTCCGAGTGAAACCATATTGTTCGATAGACAAGTTGCTTCCATTACAGTAAGACCATCTCTTGTCAGTAATGTCTCGTGATCGATCACTGCAAAGTAGGAAACCTCACATAACTTGCGACAAAGATCAGTCATCTTACCAAGAAGTAAGTCAGCAGCAGCTTTAAGAGTGGCAAGACTCCGCTCAGCCTACTTTCGACGGTTGGAACAAGAAACAGTAAAAACTGCCAGCTTATCAAGACTTACTTTCTCCAGACGTCTTTGGCCCTCAAATCTGAATGGTTTCGTGGCGATACAAAACCCGATACCACCACCAGCGCGCACAGCCCTGAGTTTAGCACATATTGCATCCAAGCATTGACAAGTCCCTGCTCCAAAGACCTTGAAAATATGCCTGAGTTTATCTTGAATAAAATCTCGTATTAACATACCAGTACAATCGCAGCTTCCACAGTTGATGAATTTTCAGCAAGCCGAATAAGTGGTCCTTCCATTTCGATTCCTAAGCACAGAAATATTTTCACGGACACGAGTAAAGAAGAATCCATTCGTACCTTCTCTTGCTTCCATTCTCTCTCGAAACCTGTTAAGAAATTTATAAAGCTAAAGCTAAACACAAAGGAGAGAATGAGCTACCTTTGGTTCAACACTGTCGCAACTCGCGAGCTCCACAGTGCCGCCCGCGACGATTCTAGCTCGGGATTTCTCTCCTCTTGTCTAGAACCAAGCAGCACACTGCATTCTACCACTCTTCTCTTGCTCTCGGGCGATACCTTCAAAACACAGGGCTCACGCAATCGCGCAACGGCAGCTCCATTGGCCTGGCAAAATGCCACGCCGATGCCCAGGGCCATTGCCTCGCCTCGCCCTAGCGCTCGCCTTTCCCTATTTCCAAAATCTCCTTCCCTCCATTATTTAGGGTTCTTCGAGCAACGCGATTCCATCGCGCTCGCTTCTAGCATTGCGCGCGGAGGATGGAATGCAGCGTTCGATCCAGACGCCAGATTTCTGTCAGGTAAGTGAGCTTTCGCAAAGGATTCCAAGCTAGGCCGACCGTTTTTCTTCCTAGTAGCTCGAGACCATCGATCGCAAGCAGACCAGGCTACGACGATACCTCGCCGGGCTCAAAGAATGCGGCAGCTCCAAGGATCTGGCAAGAGGGAAAAGAATCCACAGCGAGGCCGTCCAGAATGGGGACGAGAGCAACATCTACTTGGCCAGCAGTCTCATCAGCATGTATTCCAAGTGTGGAGATCTTCCGGACGCGAGGGAAGTTTTCGACAGGCTTCCTCGCCACAACCGCGACGTAGCAGTCTGGACAGCCTTGATCATGGGCTACGCGGACAACGGCCTGGAAGATCGAGCACTGGACGAGTTTTTCCGCATGGATTGCCCGCTGAATCCTCGACCATTCGTCGCTGCGCTCAAGGCTTGCTCGAGTCTGGCGGAGAAGGAAGAAGCCATACAGGATGGTGGTAAGGCTATGGCGATCAAGTCAAGGAGCCTCGAGAGGGGCCGGGAGATACACGCTCGGGCTTGCAGGCTTGGATTCGACTCTAGTGATGTTTTCGTGGGGAATACGCTGGTGGATATGTACGCGAAGTGCGGAAGCATGGCCGATGCTCGCAGAGCTTTCGAGAAGATCATGGCTCCAGATACGGTCTCCTGGAACGCTCTAGTGCTGGGATATGCAACGAACCACGAAGAAGCAGTGGCCTTTGAGGTGTTCTCTCGATTTCTCTCGACTTGGCTCCAACCGGATCATTTGAGCTTTGTGGCAGTTCTCAAGGCATGCAGTAGCTTAGCAACGAAAGAAGTGGCTGCTCATAACAGGCTCGTCAAAGTTTTTGCTTTGGAGAAAGGCATGGCTGTTCATGCTGAGGCAGCAAGAAGAGGACTTGATACCAGCCTCTTCGTGGCCAGCAGTCTAGTAGACATGTACTCCAAGTGTGGGAGCATGGTGGACGCTCAGAGGATCTACAACAAGCTGGAGTCATGCAACGTTGTTCTTTGGACAGCGCTCATGCTGGGATACGCAGAAAATGGCGAAGAAGATCTGGCACTGAAGCTATTCATAGAGCTAAGACCGAGAAATTGCCGACCAAATGCTCTGAGCTTTCTGGCTGCATCGAAAGCTTGCACCGGCCTCGCAGTGAAAGAAGAAATCCAACACCAACAAGTGGAGACGATCAAGAGAAGGCCAGTAAAGATCAACTCTCTGGAGAAGGGGATGGCCGTGCACTCGGAAGCTATCAGGTGTGGCTGCTGCGATCTCTTCCTCACGAGCAACCTGGTGGACATGTACGGAAAGTGTGCAAGCATGGAGGACGCTCAGCGGGCCTTTGACGGAATGGAGCGGCGAAACGCGGTTCTATGGACGGTACTTCTGGCGGGATACGTTGAAAACGGTGAAGGTGAAAAGGCTCGCGAGCTCTTCGCTCCAATGCGACGCGACGGATGCCATCCAAACTCGGCCTCATTCGTCGCAGCACTGGGGGCCTGCAGGGACGGAGTTTCGATCGAAACCGGCAGGGCCTTCCACGCTGATATTTGCCGGAGTGGCGTCGAGTGTGAGACACAGGTCGGCAGCAAACTCGTGGACTTGTATTCCAAGTCCGGGATGGTGTCCAAAGCTCACGAGGTATTCGATTCACTTCCAGAGAGGAACTTGGTGACTTGGACATCGCTACTGGCAGGATATAGTCGCGAAGGGAGGACGCGAGAGGTTTTCCATCTCTTCGGCGGGATGCTAGACGAGGGCCTCCAGGCGGACAGGGTGACGATGCTGTGCCTTCTCACGGCTTGTAGCCATGCCGGGCTCGTGGAGAGGGGCCGTGAGCTTCTTAAGTCGATGAGCTCCAGGTATGGAGTGAGTCCTGGCGTGGAGCACTGCGAATGCATGGCCGATTTGCTGGAGAGAGCTAACGAGGCCGAAGCTGCGAGGGAGATGAGAAAGATGGTGGCCAGGAAAGAAAATCCAACAATAATAAACTGAAATTAACTTAGTGCTAAGGCCTTTTAGCTCAGTTGGTCAGACCGTGGTGCTGATAACGCCAAGGTCGCAGGTTCGAACCTGCATGGGCCAAAACTGCTGTAGTAAACAAGGATGTTTTTTCTCTCTATCTGCGGCTTTAAGAAATCTTCCATAAGCCTGTACAGTTTCTGATTCACCGGCCGAATGTCAATGTTCGAATGTTAATGAACTTAGTGTTATTTACATTATAATATTTATGGCAGTACAAAATTATGTTCGCTAGCTAATAATTTATTAGCAATTAACTAACTCAGATCATTAATCATAGGTATATCTCATGAATTTAACTTCTAACCGGCTTTTCAAGCAAAGCAGTGAGAAAGACATGGCGAGAGTTGTGAGAGTCAACGGACCATCTAACTCTCTCATAGCCCATGCGATCAATGGCAGGAACATAGACCGTTTGCAACATCTCATAGCTGCAAGCCAGCTTCTCGAGCCACAAGAGCCCTCCAGGCCTCAATATCCTGTCCAGATCATACACAAGGAACTCGAAGCTTTCAGCGGGCATGGAGCCCGATCCAACGATGTCCTCGGCGTGGACGATATCCATGGTGTTGTCAAAGAAGGGCAGCCGCTGGGATATGGTGACATGCATGGGCACCAAGCCCCTCGCCGCCACGACACTGCTCAAGGGAGCGCCCACGTCCAATGTGGTGGTGACGATCGTCACGCCCATCTCTCGCATCCTAGCTGCAAAGCTTCCAGTCCCGCCGCCCAGATCGAGCCCAATCCTCAGCCCACCTCGCTTCATCGCCAGCACCCCGTGAATGACGAGGTCGTGATCGTCGCGAGCGCTCACCCATCTGTGCTTCTCCTTGTCCAAATCGAGGCAGGAATCGCAGCCCATGATCGAGCTCGAGCTATGGCGGCCCAGGCAGCTGAAGTTCTTGCAGGCGTAGTGCGTCCAGAGGATGGCATTGTCGGGAGGGAGGCTCCAGAGACAAGCCGGGAAGGGCAGCGGATCGCTGGACGAGTTTGGGGATCTTGCGAAGCATCGCCTGCGCGGGAGAGGCTCGCAGCCTTGCAGCATCAGCGTTTGTGCGAGATCGGAGTCGTCCGGGCAAAGGCCTCCCACGGGGTAGTCCATGAAGGTCTGGAGGAGATCCTTGCTGCTGGATCCGGCGCACGCGTGGCCCACCGGCGATGCCACCCTTGAGATCTGGAAGAGCTTGTGCTTGCCGAGAGGAAGGTCGCGGAGCGCGATGAACTCCTGGAGCTCAGAGCTGGGGATTGGATCCAAGAGATTGAGGTTGTCGTTCACGTTTTCGGGAAGCATGGATTGATCTTCGTTCTCCTCTCGCTGACTCCTTGGCTTTGGATCTCGCTGCTGATCTAGCCGACCCAGAAACGAGGATAGATCATTCCGGATCCCGACCAGCTGAATCTGCGCTAGCTCCAGCTCGTGGTGGACGCGAGAGATGTGGCTCGTGATCTTCGTCGCCTGAAGCTTGCTCGATCTTTCGCCGGCTAATCTGGAGAAGAAGCTGCTGTAGCTCTTGCTGCCATGATCGTGCTGCGAGCTCGTTGCTGTGAGGCTGTAGAGCATCACAAAGTTGGTTCCAAGGAGACAAAGTAGAATCACGCATTTCCAAATGCCTATGCAAATCCTAGAGCAGTAGCTACTCTTTTTCTCGTCCGCCGCTCTCTTGCTTCCCATCTCTCTCTATAGATTGAAAGTTTAGTGGCTCGCTCGTGGCATGCTTGAAGGAATGAAACTCAGATCGTGGATTAACTATAGAAGATCGATCATGATGGCTTCGTGGATTATAGTATGATGGTCAGGTTGGTAATCATGGCGATGCGTTGGAGGAAAATTTTCCTATGTAGATTCCACTTTGTTGGTATCTCATGGACTTTCGTAATATTTTTGAAATACTTTCATAATGTCTATCTTAATAATTCGTATCTTCATGATCTTAGGAAAAACTCACCGCTCAAGCTTGCTAAAAGTCATGGTACATGCTTTATTTTGTTAAAGTGGAACTTATTCAGTAAAGTGGGACATTAATTAGCATGTGTCCACATGCCATTTCCTAGTACTTAATTAATATTTATTAATATTTCTATCAGTTTTTTAATTTATTTTTTTATATTTCACAATATTATAACACAAAATCATATGAAAAGTTTTTAATTTATAAATTATAAAGCTAAAACTTTAATTTTTTATTGTTGTTATAAAAATGGCATGTGGCCACACACTATAAGTGGGATAATGAAAAATTCCACTTTAACAAAATAAAGCATGTACCAGAATTACTATCAAATGGTCATCCCACCATTCCAGAATGCCGGGGGTTGTTTTCTCAGGATTGTTCACCAAACAAGCTACACTGGTTCCTAGATTTCACGTATCTATACAATAGAGAATTGATAGGCCTAATATACCAATTCAGCTCTTAACTGGACTCGAGCTTCTTGGACAAATAAGTATGATAAAAGAAATTTCCTTGCAGTGGGTTTGAATTTGAATATCTTTGAGTGTTACTTAATTTCTCAATTAGAATGAACTTAGAACCCTCGAGTTCATTAAGTTTTGTATTTGCCCGAACAAAGGTGTATCAACTAAATAAGGTTTTCAATGAAATTGTCAATAGAAAAAATCCAAAAATTATAAACTAAATGAATTTGCTTGTAGTACAATTCGTTATGCTTTAGTGTTCTCTAATCAGTATGCAAACTTTCATAAAAGAAACAAACATTCATACCATAAATTTCTTTCCAAGTAATTTCTATAACTGATGGAGAATATTAAAAAAATCGTGGAATAGATAAGTTATAAATAAAATAATTTGTTTCTGTTTTCTTAATAGTAGTGTTATTCCTATTTATCAATGTAATTGATAAAATGAAAGTTTATAATTATAAACATGTTTTTAATTTATAAACATATTGCATATCAACCATTCGATGGTAGAATAAACTATAATATACTAGAAAGTGTTTAGGAAAGTTTATAAATTATAAATACAAGATTAATCTAAATGAATAATAACTGTTAGATTGTAGAATATCTTAGAATATTCAAGCATATTCTAGCTATATTCACTGGCATCTTAGTCCCCTACAGTTTTGCCTAAGTAAACCAATAATTTGTATGTTGTCTAATGGCTTGCTATAAACTTTTTGTTGAAGGATTAAAAAAATATTAAACCAAAATCATATCAGAAAAAGTATATATTACAAATATACATAGAAAATAAAATGATTTAAACTTTAGAGTATTATTTTATTTCCTGGATGCTGGATCTATGCCCTTAGAAACATAAAAATAAAAAAAATATGAATCTATGCAACTAAAAGTAAAACATAATTGGAAATTAATGGGAATGTTGTGTAAATTCTCACAAATTTATAAAAAGAATAAATTAATATCTAAAACTTTATGTTTATATATACAAGAATATTCAAACATATGCTAGAAGAAGATAATAATATCAATAGGTAGAGAACCACTTCTGGCTGTGTGGTGGATTTAGAGCTTTAGAAAAGATTGGTATGTGTGGTAAGATAAAGGAGACGTGTTGCTACAGAGCTACAAAATTGTCAAAAGTAAGATATTGCCTTATTGGTGATCAATTAAAAGCCCAACTCTATATAATCGTCTCATTAATTCAAAACATCTCACCCTCTCTCCTTTTTTACTTTCATGTTTAGTGGATCATATCCCATAATGTCTCTCTTAGCAATTCTTATCTTCGCAATCCTAGGAAGAACTCACTGCTCAAGCCTGCTGAAAATCATGGTACCAGCATACATCTATCCATCTCCCAGCAATACTGCATGGCAGACCCTCACTACCCAAGCAGCCTAATTTCCATACTGCCTGGTTACAATAATAAATCCCAATAATGGTCCTGGTACTTCTGTAATCTCAGACTACCAAAATGCCATCCAAGCTTTCAAGAATGCCCAAGGTCTCTTACTCGGTTATGTTCCCACAACATATGGCAACCGGGCATATGCAAATGTTATTTCTGATGTTGATAAATACTATAGCTTCTACCCCAATATCATTGGCATCTTTTTTGATGAGGCAAGCTCCAACAATGGCTCCCAAGGTTATTACCAGAACCTCTATAGATATGTGAAATCTAAGAGCTCATGTAGCTTGGTGGTGAATAATCCTGGGACAGCAACACTAGAATCTTATCTAATATATAATGGGTCACGAGTGACTGACGTGATCTGTGTCTTTGAGGGTAACAATACAGCACAAAGAGCTCTCGCTTGGACTCAAGCTTCATGGACCAATAAATATGACCGAAGTAATTTCCTTGCAGTGGCTTACAATATCAGTAGTGGGGTTTACCAGAGTGTTATGGATCATGCTTACTAGCAAAACACTGGATGGGTTTATGTTACTGATGATGGTGGCAATAATCCTTATGATAATATTCCACCTTATTTTGCAAACCAAGTAGCTTATGCAAGTACTTATTCAAAGAACCAGAATTGTCCATAGAATATTATATAATGAGATAGATCGGTAGAGATGGATGTATAAAGGTCACCCCATGGGGCATCAGATCTATGTACATATTTCCTAATATTGGCAAAGTTATTGCATGTTGTTGTTGTTGCTTCTAGAATGTCTTGAAGCTTGCTTAAGGTGGGTGACAAATTATTGTTGGGTAAAATGCAATTCATCAAGCCTGTAGGGTGGATGTTTTGATGATGAACTACATCTAGTCAAATTTCACATTTACTAATTAATTACCTTTTCTTGTAAAGTATGGGCATTCTTAGATGATGATCTATTTCATTGCACACTAGAAAAGCATCCAACCTTTTATATTTGAAACTTATTTTGGAGGGACAGTAGCATTGGAGTAAGGAGTGATTTTATTGGAAACTAACCTCAAGTTAATTTAAAAACATAATGGGTCTATATTAATCCTAGATGCATATAGTAAGTTTTGATTCAAATTCTGTGAGTAAATTTTTAATGTTTGAATCTTGTTGTGGTGTCAAAATACACTTTATCCAATATAAGGAAATGACAAATACATAACAATGTAAGTCAATGCTATAGAAGTTTATGGCTTAATTTCCTCATATTTTTCCAATGGGGCTACTATTGTTGACTATGATGGAGGCAATAGGCTATTCTACCTCTCCATTTTGGGACTTGAGTTTTCTATATTTTACTTATATTGAACATGCTTAACCTTTAGATTTAATACTATTTGTGAGTGCATGGAATATAAAAAGGGAATACAAAAAATATGCATATCAATTAGCCCAAAAACCCTAACTTATATACATGAGCGATTGATTTGGATTGAAACTAATTCAACAGCTACTAAAATCTCACTACACTAAATCTACACTAAATATTAATATATGGCATCGTAGCTGTACACTTGGACCTCACATCACCCCCTCCTCTCAAAATAATAGAAGACTATTAAGGTTCTCTTGTGGATGGGCCAGGATTTGGAAGAACGTTAGGAGGAAGCATTGGCAGATATATAAGTAGTATTAATTGTTCTTGATCCTTTTGTATAAAGCATTTCAACTGTTGCACATATATAATTTTTGGAGGATTGGCTTATTGAATGTCATGCCAAACTTCATAAATTTGTGGTCCAACTTGTTGTAACACCCGATATGGTCCTTATCACTAAGCAAGGAGCCTCTTAAATAAACCATATACCGTAAGATGGAAAAAACAGACTAACACCAAGTCATCCACTTTAAACTTTGCAGGTGGACGATAATGGGAGTTGTAGCGCCATTGTTGTCCCACTTGTACATATTTTAAGTGTTTGGCAAACTCCGTTCAGACAAGTGGAAGAATGCTCATCAAACACTGATCCCATGACTTAGCATCGGCAATTTGTGGCAATCGTAAAGGTAAACCCAACTTCATTGGTAATATTGGATCATAATTATATAGGAGTTTATATGGTGAAGTATCAGCAAAACTTTGCACCCCTATAACATATGCATACCGAAGAGATGCCAAATAACCATCTCAATCCAAATGCTGAAAGTTTATATACTTCACAATCATTCCTTTGAATATCCGAACAAGCCGTTCCACCAAGTTTTTTGATTGTGAATGATAAGCATTTGTGAAAGTGTGGTATATCCCCAATCGAGATGTTAAAATATGAAATGCCTTAGCCATAAATGCAGGACCATTATCTGAAAGGATCTGCTTCGGATAAAAATGCTGGAACACCACTCGATTAAGGAGGAAGTATCTAACAGTAGTTGCAAAGATGCTAGCAAGAGCACGAACTTCCACCTAACGAGTTAAATAGTCAGAAGCAATAATAACATATTCATTGTTAGTAGTCGATCGTGGAAAAGGTCCTATAAAATCAAATGCCACAAACTCAAATGGATGGAAAATTGCAATTGATTCTAGTCATCCTTCTGTAGCACAAGGGGGAGTATTACGAGTTTGGCACTAAACAGAGTTACACATATACTGGATAACATCACTTCATATCTCTAGCCAATAGAAAGACTTGTGCAACTTCTCGGTCACATGATGATGTCCCATATGCCCATCTAGAACTGGAGAATCATGATAAGCATAGAGAAACTGTGGAATAAAGATGGAAGGCACCACCAACCGTAAATGACCATCAGAATCCATCCCCATAAAATAAAGAAAGCCATTTTCAACATGATATTGAGATA